AGTGCTTATCATTTGAGCACATCACAGTTATTCAAACCAACGGTTACTGAAGACAACTATGGATACCGTGGGTATAATTGAAAATCCCAAGTTTTCTGGTAACCAGTGGATCCACCAGTGTCTGATCGCAGCATCTACCGTTTATGACGATCTTCCGGGTTCGATTTCGTGTTCTTGAAACGCTCTCAGGCAGTGCCCTTGTCTACTGTTTCTGTTGGTCAATTTTGAGGAGAAATTAAGCCACAAAAAATGACCTTGGTGGAAACTAGCAGTGCAATCGGAGTGTCGACGGCAGCTCGGTGCTGTGTGGTCCTTTCACAGATGTGACTAATCTCTTTTGACCTTTCTACGCGTTGTTGCTTGTAAGAATGTTGTTTGTTAAAGGCCTCAGTGTAGTCGGCTTCTTTGGGTCCGAAGTGACTATTGGCTGATCACCCGTTTTACCTGTGACGGTTCACGAGTGATAAGGATGATCTACCAAAACCTCATCAAGATTGAATCCACAGCTGTTAAGGCATGAGTCCCCTACTTTTGAGAGCTGTCTACCTGGTTTCATCATCATTCTAGTGTAATGCCGAGGTCTTGTTCGCCATGAAAGTGACTGAGTTCTTTAAAAATCTCAAACAGATCCACATCCGTACTGCTCTGATTCTTACAATCTGCCAAACCACCAAGCGAGCTTCAAAATGCCTACTTGGCAGTCACCGATTGACTGTTATGCTGGTTTCCGTAAACACAATACCGCAGCATTAATCGTGGTAGTTTATTCTTCTGACTTCCTCTTGATAGTTCCACGCCGAGTTTTATTATCCACACGCACGCATCGGTAAGATTTATGGACCTACCTGCGGTAACTGTGTGTTTATTCACCGCTACCTTACAAATTTCTCTCTCGCTCTCTCTGAAGCTTTACGGGCCAATCCATGACTCCGTTGTGTGTCATCACAGTTGGTGTTTATCCGTTTCCAGGCCTTCCATAGCTGGTGTTCTGGGTTGGAAGGGGGGGAGGAGGCAGTTTTTAAATGCAAATCTGTTGCATCACAACTGCTCAAAGTGTGGTACCACCGACTTGAGGTACAGCCCTCAATTAAGTCTTTCCACAAAACAGCATTCCATGCTCTTGCTGAGGCTCACTCCCGATCCCTTGATGTTCTACTCTGTACTGGACCTGTTCCTTTGACAAGATCCTCGTACGCGACAGCTCCGGGCTTGCACTTTTCAAAACCGTTGATTTTGTGCGTTCTTGCATTGAAGTGACGCCCAGATACCCTTTTTAACAGATGTAAACTTCAAAAGATCTTACTTCAGGATTTGAAGGTGCAATCACGCTTCCAATGGGCCGCGTTTTTTGGACTGTGTGACCAACAGGTGCAGTTGGTCTAGGCCTATTCGAGTTGACTGGTTCCCGTTAGTCGATTGTCGGAGCTTTAGGCACACCATGCGTTCGTCAGTCTGCCCACTCCCCACTCTGCGAAAACGCTTCCAACTACAACGAAAATTCCATGAAGAAGTGCTGTATCAGGGTGTTTTATTGGCTACTTCTTGCGCGTGTAGGTGTTTGGCATAACTTCATTCATTCACATGTTTCACGCCTCGCAAAATTAATTTGATATGTTTATTTAGAAATGGTTCCACCCAGGCCCCATATTCCCCAAGAAGGTCACCTGGTCTAACAGTGCTTTGTATTGCATTATCACGCATAACAAATGTTGGCCATTCCCTTCAATGTGCACACTTGGCATTAACTGCCACCTTGGCCTATTCGTGATGGCAACGGCTTGCAGGTAGAAATTTGCGAAATCGGACCAAGTGCCTACTGGCGTTTGGACTAGAGGATTTACCGAATCGGTCAGTCGCGCAATTCAGACGGACGAGACTTTGATAACAGCGCGGTGTCAAAGTGGGCATGCGAAAGGGTTCGGTCGGAAGCGGGCCAGCTTCTAGGTGTTGTGGGTGTATCCCTTACTTAGAGGCATCTTCGCCTCTCGACCTAGTTGTAGAGGCTTTCCCGACATGCCCATTCCGAATCCAACTTAGCCCAGTAGTAGTACTTAGGGCAAGTATTTATCGATAAACTGAACGAATCACACGTCTCCCTAACCCTAAAATCCAGCTAGTTTCCTCTCAAGTTTAGTGTGTTTATTTTCGAATCTTTCTACGTAGACAAGGGTCAAAAATTTAAAAGTTGGATAAGCGGTTCCAAACGTTTTGTCCCACAATTCTACTAGAGCACAGTGCCTATCATCTGAGCACATCACAGTTGCTCAAACCAACGTTTACTGAAAACAACTTTGGATACCGTGGGTATTATTGAAAATCCTAAGTTTTCTGGTAACCAGTGGATCCACTAGTGTCAGATCGCAGCATCTACCGTTTATGACGATCTTCCGGGTTTGATTGATTCTTCTTGAAGCTACAAATTTGCGAAATCGGACCAATTGCCTGGTGGCGTTTGAATTAGAGGACGGATTCGTTAGACAGAGTGACAGGTCAGTGACGCAATCCAAACGGGTGCAAGGCGTCAAAAAACGTGTAATGGAAGACTTCGCTAAACCAGTCGCACTTGTTCAAACATGGGCCTAGCCGGTAGACTGTGTTCCGGTGTGGGGCGGTTTTCAGATACGACGATGTCCCAATTACTGTACGTGTATTGTCACTGGACTTCGGCCTCAGTTGATCCTCTTTTTTGCATCACCTTTTTCTAAGTCACAGCACCGGCGCCTATCCAGATAGTGATAGATTGGACCCTGATCGCGACAACTCGACGGCTTTAAAGTGTTATGTTACCATCCAGTCTGGCGGGCACTCTTTCAGTACACAAGGTAATCCCGAAATCCTCCAATTTTAAGTCATCAACGGAGAAATAACCATGCTTGCCAAGTCGCCGCCTTGCGAACATTTTCGATGTGGTAGATCCGATATACAAGCCCCGATGCGGGCGTGAGACTGGCGCCAGCATTATCGATTTTTAGCCGGGTGCACCAAAACCCCAGACACCAGGCCGTCTGACCCCCGCCACTCAAACCCTAGCCGCTGCATTGGGGCGCGTCGGACTCTACACGTAACTGACGTAAATTGGCCTTTTATGTCGCCGAACTGTCGCATTTGTTTTTTTGGGCTTTAATCGTACCGCCACGACGGCACATATACACCCATTTTACCGAGTTCTGAGTCTTTTTCAACGCATGCGTGCGTGCTTGTGACTGGTCGCCTTGTCCACGAGTAAACCTGCATCCCAGTGAATCTGGATAGAATGAGGAGGCTGTACGGGTCACATGTGAAGCCACCCTCCCTCCCTTTCTTTCTTTCTTTCCGCGCAACACTTTTGAAGTCGGTTGTGCGGACCGCAAAGGGGGCATTTTTGTCATAAAGACGCGGTGGTTGTAAACACACACACACACACACACATAAACAGTGGTGGGTTCGAAAGTCATTTCATCAATTATCGAAAGCTGGGTGATGCTGACGATGATAAGCATTTATCATACCGATGATGAAGGAAGAGAACTTGTGTGTGTGCGTGTGTGAGCAGACGCGGGGCTCGTAACATAAACCCCAAGGCAGCTATTCGCAACACTAGAAACGCCAAAATCACGCTTGCCAGTTCAGTGTACTTGAAAACCTGACATCTCTCGGTTTTGTCTTGTGTGACAGCTTAAATGTGTCAGCAAGCGTGATGTGTGTTTTTTATTGCCAAACAGGCCCGAACGCGTGACGAGCTTGTGCAACAGTGGTGCTGTGCTCCTGTTTCACCGGCAGTTAGTATGAGTTTTACGGTGAAAAGGCGAACTGTGATGTCAACGACGCTTCCCTGTGCAAACAAGACTTGATGACACAAGAAGTCCTGTTCGTGGGCATGATTTGTGGTTGTGCTTTGCGATGAAGGCAAGCTTTTTTTGCAACGAAGATCACGGAGGTACTAGATTTGCACGACGTAGAATTCTCCAAATTTACACCATCTTATTGAAAGTGTGTGTCTTTTCTTAATCAGGAGTTACTGCTACTGTTTTAATCAAGCAATCTCCACATTTAAATAGGAAAGCAGAAGAAGAGGTAGCATGTTTATCATTGCGATTCATTTGTAATGCCAGTAGCTGACATTTTTAATGAGATGTTAGCAGAAGTTGCTGAAACAAATCTGGTGCGCTTCCTAACACATTTGCCCGATTCTGCCAGATGCGGAGTAGGTAGTCTTCCAAAAAGTTATGCGGAGTGGATGAAAGTACATTGACTTGGGACTAACTGATTTCGCTCATTTGTAAATTTAAACAACTATTCATTTGTGCGATGGCATGGAGATCCGCTGTTTATCAGTCGGTTTGGACTTTACCTCAGCACATCGTCTTGCGGTCCGGATTTCGCTTGCTCGGTACTGCGAATGACGCGAGGCATGTGTTCGCTAGGGCGCTGCTATTTCAACGGATCTGGATTTAGTGCAATGCTCATCTTTGCTGTACTCAATTCGTGCCCCAGTTGTCACTTTCACGGAAAGGAACGATTCCACCTTGTTGATTGGTTAACCTCCAGTCGACCAAGTGACATTTCAAACTGGTCTTTGTTTCCAACAATCTGACGAACGACCGCTTCAACAATGCTATCTGGACTTTACCCGGTCAATGCACTTTCACGAGCGAGATTGTCCTGTAGCCCAAAAACTTCCATACATGTTTTGTCTTCCAATGCTCTATCACAGGTTTTTTTCTCTAAACATGGCCTTAGGAACGTGGGGACGAGTTTGGTGCTACGTGAGGTGACTGCCGAGGTCACAAACATAGCACACACAGGTCATGCGGGTATTGCACACGTCGGTATGGGAACAAGCACGGCTAACGTGTTGGCATTTTTACCATCGCATTGTTAGCTGAGATGTGCATTTTCGACCAAAGAGTGACTTCCCCCCGATATCGCGTCTGGTTAGCTAGCAAGCTCCGTTCAGGTGTCGCACACGTCAAACACTTCAAACCCACTACAAGTTCATCCAAAGTGGAGTTTTTTCCAGACTAATTTCGGCACGGTGAGTTGTGGTCGATGACATGCGAGCCTTCGGAACCCACCTCTCGTGCCGTCGCCACAATGCCGACGCTTTGATGTGCGCAGACACGATCGGGAACCGGCTGGAATTCGACACGACCACCTGTGATGTCTGGGAAACATGCATTGGCCGTCATCGTGAAACCCGTTGTACTTTTAATTCTGCGACTGGCCAGTATTGTGGGGTGGAGTTGGGGGGGGGGTCTAGCTGGGTACAGCGGGGTGCAGGCAGACATCGACTCACACCTACTAAATTCATGGCAAATCAATAAAAGTACAAACGGACAAAAGTGCAAATTCAATGCCGGCTGGTTGCGGCGACGCGGTATGAAGTAAAATCCTCCCAAGATTGGCCACAGTGGGCGGAAGTAGCGCAGCCAATGCTGCCTTTCTCATTTTGACTGCACACGAAGCAGTCTTTGGCTAAGTGTTGCAAGTGTGATATTTCGGTTATTGATTATCGCCGTTCCAACGGCCAATGGGAGTGCATGGCGGATAACAGTGCACCGTTACAACAAAAACTTGTACTTGCCAATCTAATTAATGAGGTAAACGAACCGGTAATGTCACTGACGCCATCGCCATGCACTTTATTATCGGCATCGGTGTTTCTATTAGCTCCACGTGATTTCCCACTTTCGTGCATACTCTTTTTTTGAATTGAAACGTTTTCGGGGCACTTGGTTTGCCAAAGTAAGCTCTAATGAACCTGAATGCCTTCTCTTGGCTGTGTTCTCACCTTGAAGATGTCTGGGGATTAGATTATTTAAAATTATCAACTAGTAAATTTTCTATTTAGACAAAAATTATTACAACTGTTACAGCATTTACCATGTTTGTCTTAATTTATCCGTTTTTTTCGTTGTATTTCCTACTGAGCGCCAAGATTCTCTGATTTAAACAAAACCGACAATTCGGTTTATTCTGATGCTTTGATGAGTCATTCAAATCGGACTGTTATAACATTTGCCATGTTAGTCCTGATTTATCCGTTGTTTTGAATTCACATTCATACCAAGCGCCATTTACGATATGCCCAATGGGCGAGCGGTGTTCGTGATGGAGGTTATTTTAATTGGTCCAGAGATTGTCTTTTGGTGTTCCTCTATTCCCGTACAGAAGGCCAAAATCAAAATCCGATTCTACGATGACTGATTGTGTCAAACTTTGTGGTGTGTGGTGAGTGAACCGCGTTTTCAAACAGGGTCGTTTGAAGTCGCTTTTTCCGCGCAACTTCTACAACAAAACGCATACGCACATATATATACGCACACACACACACACACACACGCACAGTATAAAGAAAAGGAAAAAAAAGTTGTTTACATCAAAACGCGCGCAAAGGAGGCATGATTTATTGAGAGTGGCGTTTGTGTAGCCACCTCAATGTGCCACCGCGTCACATCAGCGCGGCGTTGCGTGCACACAGACGCATTCACGGGAAGAGCGCGATCGGTGTTGTCTTCGTGGTCAGGTCCAAGTTAACAACAAACAAAGTGCGAAGGTGTGCTGGAGGTTTGCTTCACCTTCGACGAGGTACATTTGCAGCTCCCGACTTCCCACCGCCTATCTACCACGCAGAAGAAGTCGTCCCATGTAGGTCTAGGCGCTTTATTTAGACAAACCAAGATCTACAGGCTTGTAAGCAGCAATTTACCCTGTCATATTTGCTCATTGTTAAATCCAATCAGTTTTGCGGGGGTTTATATGCTCTAAAATCCCTTCTGGCTCCTTGCTAACAACTTTTATAACGTCCAAATATTACTTGTTTTACTGAGCTCTGCCTAAGACCTTTTTCTTTTTTAAAAAAAGAAGGCAAATTTAAACACGGTCAATAGTTCAACCGAGACTATTTTGTGACTGGGGTATAGGACATAAGAAATCTGGAAAAATAAATAACCGCTTCCACCGGTATTGCGTTTTTCATTCGTCATTGACATGGCAACGGACCCGCGCTGAGTTTAAAATGTGTTATTTAAACGAACACACCGAGATAATTTCCCGAGACGAAAAATCTTTTTGTAAACCAAAATCTCGACTATCATTATAGTGCTATTATGCGTTTTATCATAACTGGTAAATAATTAGAAATGCGTTTAAAACAACCGCGCTTTGCGAGCAAATGAGTCCAGTAAAACGACGAAAGGTATCTGGTGATGTCGTGGTCAGTATTACTTGAGCTTCAACTGGTTGATATTGATGATTCAAGGAGGTCGCTGTCAAATTTTCGAGAATTCGGTGAATAATTTTGACACGAGTTTTTGGGACGGAGTGGAAACAGCGTTGGGGTGGTTTCTAGTCAACAACATTTGTGAGAAAAAAAGGCTTCATGCTCGGCTGATACTACCCTTTTGTGGTAGTTTTATTAGGCGTTTGACTTAATTTTTACCGATTTCCAGATATTTATTTCCATAAAAAAGTAGAGAACAACGAACAAGCACACTGCAAACTGGAAACACTTTTTCTTGTCGGAGTTCGCACAAATGCAGTACTTTTTATCAGCAGCCATCATCGTAACCTCTACTATTGTGAGAGGTTATGTAACGCTTGTCGTTCGGTGCTCTGAAACCTTGCATCCAATCCTTTCAAAACCCCAAAACTTATCGATTTTAAGCACAAAAATCGATGCATTTTGATACATTTTGGCCATTCCATGGTTACACAGTTTACGGTAAACAAAGACTCGTGTAGAGGGCTCGTGGGGACTTGTGGTGCTTCCTTGTAATGGTTGTTTGGACCAAGCCAATCTCTTCTCAATTAATTGAGCCAGAAACGCGTTTTCGCAGGAACTAAATGTTTGCTTTTCTGGTCCAAAGCTTGATTTGTTGAAGTCGGATAAACGTGGGAATCTGTTCATTCTTCACCTTCCTTTTCACCTTCTCTTACCGGCTGATTTTCTGTTATTGGAGTATAAGGTGTCATTGAAATCTAACGTATCCTTTTTCAGTTAACCCACAAACTTACCCCTGACGTGATGTAGTTTGATTTTATCCACGTTAAATCATGAAAACCCAGTTCAACAGGCCAACTTCAATCGCAGCCATCGCATCTAAACTTGTGGTAGTTCCGCCTTTTGCAATTAATTGGCGCATTCATTGCAAGGGAGGCTGGATCTATTCTTACTGCTGAATTGACCCCCCATCATGGCTAAACCATTTACCACCTTGGAGAATCCTGAGATGCTCAATTTCTAAGTTCTGCAGCATTCATTGTGTCAAACCGACTCGCCAAAATTATTCCTCATCTCCCTCCAACAGCAAACGTGTCTCTTGGGTTTGGATTAGCCTCGATTCCTGCATAATTTGGCGGAATCTGCTAATGCCAAAGTGTGTAATAAGACAATAGCTGCCCTTAATCGGTTTCTTTTATGACCGGATATCTTGCAAGATTGCAGCACAATCATAACGATGACAGGGATTGTGTATATACTTTCCCGTTTTATCAAAGCAACGCAGCAGAAATAACCCACATCCGAATTGTGATAACTTTCAGTAAACGGAGCAGGACTTGTAAATGATCAACGTGCCGGCCATTTGTCTCTGTACCTTCTGTTACGTATTTGAAGATGCAGGTAGCTTGAGTTTGCCTGTTCGCAGACCAACTGGTTCACAAATCTTTTTTCAACTCGTTTCCTCCCTAAAAATAGCCGATTTCTTAACTGATTCTGGGACTAGCTAGCATTACCGAACCTGGTGCATGTTAGTTGGACGAATGGGGCTGATTACTCTGCTAGCTTTATCTTTAATTTACGCCAGTTTGATAGTTTGCTAGGCTCTTATTGGTTCATTTGAAAATTCCGCGTTCCGGCACACCATCCTCTGCGAGGAAATTTCGAAAACAACCATGTACTCAAGTCGTAGCAAAAGTTGGTCATCAAGCACAGGCTTGATCTCCTAGTCACGACCTGATAAGATGCTTCGAAAATGCCAGTTTCGCTAACTTAATGATGGTATTTTGAGCTAAATGCAACAATGCTATGATAATCCGAGTCATAATACACATTTTGATGACCTTTTTTGACCAAACAGTCATGAACGCGCGGAATAATTGGGCTGTTTTAAGCCATTTTTAGTTTGAGTGATTAGACGTAGGAAAAAAAGTTTAGTTTTATGATCAGGAGGGGAACTCTGATATTAACGAGGTTCCCGGCTGTAGGTAGCCTCTCGTGATTCACAAATTAAGGCTACTGTGCCCATGAACGTGGGCATGGTTGGAGCATTGGTGAAGACGTCCAGTTCGTGAGTGTTGGCAGATCATCTTTTTTGCAAAGAACTGCTTCATTGGGGGTGCAGTGGAAATTTCCGCGACAAAAAAATAGTGGTCCAGGCCTGCAGTTGTCCAGACTGAGATTTTGATCTCAAAAACTGCTAGATCGTAGCTACATGGTGGAACTTGCAACCATCCGTTCTAGCCCTAAACCACGAAAGTTGCTATTCAATCATGGCTGTTATGCTATTTTTGTGCAATTTTGAATCCTCAAAACCACCTAGCCATGAAGCTGCACCACCAGAAGAGGGGACGAGTCAATTTTTACCAATCAACTACATTCTCGGAACAATTGATTTCCCTCGTTTAATCGACTAAAATTGCAAATCCCTCGAGGGTCGCCGCCGTGCGAGGGTGCGTGTGTGTGTAGATCCATCATCAAACACGCGAAGGCGCACCCTAAAAATTCACACGAATGTTTGTCAATCAGAAGTCACTGATGCTATCACCCTCCCACTCGCTCTCTCCTTTGTTATCACACCTGCCTCTTGAGTCCAGGGTTCTTGAAAAGGTACTTTTGATGCCTCACCCATCAATTTTGCTGACCATGTAGGCTTGACAAATTAGCACAATTACGGCGAGTCGAAGCGCTGGCAGCAGCAGCAGCAGCGGGTATGGGCGGTTTCCTGTTTAATATTAATAACTTCGCAAAAAATCATAAACCACTCGCTTTGAACGTACATTTTTCGTGCCTTTTTTTGCTGATCTGCAGTCAATGCGCGCGCACGGACGCACGACGGGAGGGTTACTTGGAGTCTTACGGTCATTTGGGAGTTAAAATTACCACCACCACCACCACTGACGGATTGGGTGAAACTTAGAAATGTAGATGCCACTAATTTGACTCGAAACTGCTCTCTAACTACACTAATAACGAGCCGATTAAGTGGTAAGATGTCAGCTTTTGACTGGGCGGTAGTAATTTGAGCTTGCGGCTGAGTCTGGGGTCAATTTAATCGCTTAATTTTGTGACTGCCTGAATCTCTGCTATTTCGCGGTTTCTTTATCACACGAACCATCGTGTCAACCTACTTATTTCCTTAAAAAGTGCCTACGGAGAGCGTGTGTGTGCGGTCTAATTTAAATGACAATGATAACCATGATATTGGCTTCTTCAAGAAAATATTTCAAGAACAAACATGCCAGCCCACCAACATCTTCGTGATGACTCTCTTAGTCATATACTCTGCAGAATGGACTAATTCCACGTGAAACATTTCTTGTTTTCAGCTTGATCCAAATCGTTCTTTCCATTCCATAAATTTGATCTTCAGATCCATGACGGTAGTTATTCGTCAGGTGTTGTGTTGTCAAAATGAGTGTATTTCTAGTCAGTCCAGAACCTTTGAAATGGGCACCACGTCCCTATGACGGAGTATTCTAGAATTCGGTCAACACAAGTGGACGGTTTGTGAGCACAGTTATGTTGATGTTGGCGCAAATCCCAGAATATAGAGTGGGCCAGTGTTTGTGTGGATGGCTTTGCTGTATGCACCAAAGGGTCGATAGGAGATCGGAGATCGGTGAGTGGAGGAACTACCACTGAACATGGAGTTGTTGCAGTGAACAACCGATCGAAGTGATAGTAGTGAACCTGAGTGAATGGCTGCCACAACGTGCTGTGTTAATTTACTTGTCCAAGGTAGTGTTGACCTCTACAACAAGTTATGAGTCATGCGCACTACAACGCGGTTGGATTGGTGGCGGAATGGGCACAGACCCGGTTACAAGTGGGTAGTCGACCCTCAACTGACTGCCACTTCATCCACCCGGTTGTACACACACGAATGAGTTATTTATTATACAAAAAAGCCAGCATATTGGGCCGTATGCATTGATAATGACGCTGATGAGTAAAAAGGAGGCGATCGGCATCGTGAGGGCGATTTTGGGGAGAGAGACTAGGAGGCACACACACGCGCGCACACGCACGGTATAATCGTAATTGTGTTTTTCCCATCTACTTTTTAATCAGCTGGTTTCAGATTACCACAGCACAGCAGCAGCAGCAGAAGGGAAGAGGAGTTGGCGTTGTGGCGTTGTTAGCACGCTCTGCTATTGTCCTAGCGGTGTGAAGGTGTGTGTGTGTGTGTGTGTGCGTGTGTGCACATTCATTCGAGGTGTTCCACCCAAACAGAAAAACGCCACAGCGAAAACTGTTATTTCAACACTAGTTACTACCTACGATCCCTCCTGCCTTGGATTCTACCTGACTGAGCGAGCTAGATGCGATGTAATCAAGTCAAGCAACCCCTGGAGGTTTGTGAAAACAGCAAGCCTGACACCCGAGCTCATTCTGACGCACCAATATTTGCACAGAGTAAAAAAAGACAATTCGGCAAATTCAGGCGGCATTGATCACGAGCACCGCTCGCTCATTGGGCAAATTGAAGCGGCGCTCAGTAGGAATCATAATTAAAACAACGGATAAATCAATACTAACGCGGGATATATTGCAGGTTTCCCTCGGCCCTTTCAGGCACCGCAGTTAGGCTTTTCTGACATTGTAATCGTTAATGTGTAATTGCCTTATTGGACAAAGCCTTAATCGATAATTTAGCACGTCAATTTAAGCATGGTGCTCCCGGTTACCCACGATTTGTTCCCCTTAATCAGATTTTGTCACTAAGATGGAACAAGTGTTTGTGCAGTCCTCTTTTTGTACACGTAAGTAAAGCGGAAACTGGTTAGTTTGAAAACATTGCATGAATTTTACACACACTAATCCCATGACCAGTTTTAGTGTTAAAAAATGGTGCGTCTTATTTCAGGTTACATTAGATGCGTCTGGTAAACCACCTACCCGTTTTTGAACAGCAGCATTTAGGTGTGTTTGGTTTCCAATTTTAGAAACTGCTTGCTTGTGCTCGTAGCAAGCCACAAATGTACCGTAGTGAAGTCAAGTCCAGTCCACTTCAATTCCCTGCCAGTACTGCTGCAGCAGAGCCCTCTCAAGCCTACATGACCAGTGCTGCCAACGCCACGTTGCCTTTCACGTCATCCACCCTGGACTTTCAGCAGTTCCCCGGTGGTCCCGACCCCTCCTGGCTGCTGCCAGCCCAGCCACCACAGCTCCCCCCTCACCACCACTCCCAGCGGGCCTGGAACCCTCTCCATGGCGGCTACGTGCCCCAACAACGACTCGCTCCAACTTCGCCGTCGCCACAGAAGTTCCGCCGAAGTCAGGCGCCGACGCCGACCTACAAACGCGGTCCCACAAAAGTCGGTTTCAGGTCAACGCGTGAGGAGGGCGGGGAAGAGGGTGTGAGGAACGGTGCCAGTGCGGAGTCGGGCGACGCAAACCCCTCCCTCGACTCCTCTGCTGGCGGCAACGGGACTGTCGCGGGTACCAAGCGATGCCGCGTGTGCGGCGACAGAGCCGTGAATCACAATTTCGGCCAACTAACCTGTGAATCCTGTAAGGCATTCTTTCGACGAAATGCCCACAAGGTGAGTGATTTGTGCAGTGACTACCTTGCTGTTGAGGTGGTGCTTGTTAGAACCGAAATCTGCTAAAGAATGTGAACATCCAGTCGAATTGAGGCAGTTTATTTTGCAACATTCTGTTTTGCAAAATAAAACCCACCCAGTTCCCATCAATTCACATGATGGGCATTGGGACTTTTCGCAGACCTTGCCTGAAAAAAAGTAGTTTTACGCTGCTGTTAATGCAAAAAACCATAAATTTTGTGGAGCTCAACTAGGCTAGTATTTAGTAACCACGGCAAGATGGTGCCTACGCGAAAATTTGCAGTGCTAAAAAGTGGTTGGCGATATTCTGGTTTGTCTGAATACAGTATTTGTTAGGTGCCACCGTTGACATCTGGGGCATCATTTGGTCATGTGTCTCTTTTGATTTTTGGGTTGACCGCTTGGCGTTGGACCTTATAAAACAAACGCCTCCAACGGCGCCGTCCCAAGAAAGGCAACGCAAATGCCCACCGTAATTGCAAAGACCGCATTCCGCGTTTTATGACACTCCCCTTTTCCCACACCGCCTTCCATCAGGCAACGGTGGTGGTGGCGGCGGTGGCGGCGACATGTTGGTGACGTAGATAACGTTGCAACCCAACGAAGCTGTCCCTTCTTCATGGTCATTTCAATTAACGAAAGCCTCTACACTGAGGTATTAGCCCCGAAATCACGCAGGCAAGTCGAAGTTTCACCACAACTACCTGTGAGGATCCGTAGTGGCCGGGAGTTTAATCAGCATGATCCACCATAACCTCAAAAAGGCTCTAACAGGGAGGCGTGAGTCGTTTAGGTGACACGACACTGGATGCAGTCCACACAAATACCCCTATCCCTCCCCCTCACAGTACAGGCCGTCACCCAAGCTGCAAATTCATGAAAATGAGAGCAAACTCGTGCTTGTCACAATTGGTGTTGTCAAGTATCACCTCGTTTCGCCTTGTGAAGACCAGATCTTTTCCGTAATTCCCCCCCCCCTTCCCCAAAAAGGCCCTCCCATCGATAAACGCGGCTTTGCAGAGCTGTGCACCCGGCATGCCCACGTCGGACGCCTATGTGCGAGCTGTCCGCCTGGGTTTGAGTGTAAGTCCCGACCACACCAACGCCAGTGCTTGCGTGTGTTTTGTCGCGTGTGGCTAGCTTCTCACTTGCTTTACCTCATGTGGGTGTGTGCGTGTGTGTACCTGCGTTGAAGCTGTTACGCCCAGTTAACTGATCAGGTGCCTCCCTCAGCAGGGCATATTTTTGTGCGCATTCCAGGCAAGTAGGGCAGGATTGAACGCGCCTGTTCAGTGCCTCATTCCTAACTACCCTCGTAAAAGTTAGCATTTTAGATTGCTCTCTGCCGAAGCCTTTGTTTCACCGACAAACACCCAACGTCATGATCAAAATACTAGCCCACATGATAACTCCTGCAATGCCAATCATATTTGGCACCTTACTTCGCACGAACAAAGGTTGAAAGGCTTAGAGAGGGCGAGAGAGATCTCCACAGGGGTTCAGTGGATTGTTCTCCTTGCGATGATATATACCAGCAGACTGGTGCTAGCACACGCAAACCATCGTGAGAGTCACGTAATCTCTTCAAACAGTTGGCACTCAAAACGCGGAAAGCCAGCCTATGTTGTTGTGCGGTTGTAATTGGCTAAGGGGATTCCCCTCACCCCTTTGTGATCATCTGTTGGTAACCAGACAAGTACTTGCTGTCTGCGTCGCCAGACTGTTGTAAAGGCTACTAAAAACCCTAGGAATGTCCCGACACCAGGCTCATTGGCGCAGTCGACTTCAGAACCAAAGCTTTTTACGCCAAATCATGCTTTCTGTATTTGCGTAGGGTTGTATATCAGTAGACTCACAATCCATGGGAAGCCAACAAAACAGTGTTTAAGGAGTAACTGGACAAATTTCATCTCAATCTCTAGCTTTTACATTCGTTTTCACGGCCACGAGTCAATATCTCCAAGTGGTGTACACGAATTCTGAGTTTCTGTGTTCATCTAATATCGTGGAAAGTTATCATGGAACCGCCCTCGACAACAAACACTCGGAATAGCTCCTTGAAAAGTCTTCTCCGTGGCAGTCAATCAGGAGACCGCTTTCGCAAACAAAATCCATTTTCCTGCAATGCGAAACGGCACCTTAAGCCTCAATTCAAATCGACCGCCAGGTTTGTTTAAATCCTGGTCACGACCCAGCGATGCTTTTGAAGGCCGTGTGGGGGAGCTGCGTCAGTTACCGCGAGTTGTGTTGTAACCAACCTGGATTGACAAATGTTCTGTGATTTCGCGTTGGCAACCTGCTCGGTGTTATGATAGGCGCCTAGCTTTTCGCCGGAACAAAAGTACTGCTATCTGGTTCATTGCTGTCGAAATTTATGGCACTCACCAACCATAATTTCGTATCAGGGGTGTGTGAAGGTGTTAGTACAACGCTGGAGTGTGTGGCGTCGGCATCTTTGCTAGGATTAAATAATCACCTGAAGCCGCGGTCAATGACTCCACAAAGATGCTTCTGTGTTCTTTTACTTGTTTCGCATTTCATTCGACATGGCGAACCTCCAGTGAATGCCGACGTAGTCGAAAATGGATGTGGCTACCAGATTCTGTGGTGCTACTGGTAGTTTGTAGTTGCTGTATTGTTGAACCAACGTGGTACAGAGAACACCTCTCACTCTTGCAAGGGGTCTGGTACGAATTCCCAAAACCGGATAGCTACTTAATGTGTTCCAAAACATGTCTCACGAGCTTCTTGACGGCAAGGAAGCCCGTTTAATGTGCTGGTGGAAATGAGCAAGATATTTTAATCGCGATGGGTGCTGATTACTTTGTGGTACCGCCGTCGTTGGTGTCTGCCGCGCAAGCTTGCTCGGACGGGCGACTTTCAGTCAAATCAGGTGTCTGTGTTGGTTGTTGTAGGAGTTGACATGCACCTCCAAGTCCGGCGAACACGTGGTCTCGCCGTCCACAAGACGAGAATGCCCCGCCTGTCGACTCAAACGCTGCTTCCTCATCGGCATGCGACCGGACCTCATCCAAGTTCGCAAAAGTAAGCAATTTATGATGAACGCTTCCTCGGAATCTTTTTCTGTGTGTTCATCTTTCTTGCACGCTTCAAGACAGTCATTTCAAGGCACCTGGTGTCAGCTTTTGAGTAATCTGTGCCTTCAGCGCTGATCAAGCCAAAGTAGCTCCAGTGTGTTTTGACGAATTCATGATTTTTCGCGCACAGAAACTAAACTAAATGTGATTTTGGGTCATTGTCATTGGTGGAAATTTGCAATTCCTCCTAATTTTTGGCAGTAAACATCTTAATTGATTGTTTGTTTCCTTGGAAACGGATCAAACTCCGTCGCACCACTAAAATCACACCAAATTTACCGCAAGATCTGGTTGATATACGTTAGCTGTGCTGCTTCACGCTTGAAATACGGTTGTCTGTGATTGAAGATATTGATGATAATTTGGTGCATTTTGCAAATTTGAATATGTTTTTTGAACCCATGTGAAACCAATGAGTCCAAGTGGTAGATACGATTTCCCATTGGTGGAATTTTTTTAAACCACTATACATCAGGCATGTTACTTTTTTGCATTAAATCTTAACACTGCCTCCGAACCAACAGCTGCACATAAGGTTGAACATGGCTTGTTTGACAGAAGCCCTTCCTACAAACGCATTAATAAACGGAGGTGCTATTTCGCGTTTAGCTATGCCGTTGACTTCAGCTAGATTAGACGCTTCTGATGTATCTTGCTAAATCTTAGGCTGTCCGTTGTGGTTTTGGAAGCATTTTCGAATTACACGCGTGGTTTACGTGACTCGAAATTTTCACAGTGGTTACTCATCTGTCAGTTAAGAACCCAATCCACTGTGGGCGTGTCTTCATGATACTCAACACCTGTTGCAATTCACATCGAATGTAACACAGAGAATCGGTCGTGTTCTTGTGGAACCATCTAGAAACGAAGCAATAATAAGTCAGCGTTTCTAGAACACCGTAGAACAGAGAAGCCTACAAACATTATTTGCACTTAGTGGCTTCGGCTCTAAGTTTGCTTCAACCACAGATGCCCAAACTAACCTTGCGCGGCCTGTGTTTATTGCGAAATGCCGCCTCTCTGACGATGGAACCACAGTATGCCCTGATATCTGCCTCGGAACCGACTTCGTTAGTGATAATCCACCGTGAATGCCAAAATCCCCTTTTTCAGGGTGCATTGACGCCAGCCCATCATGTCGTGGGCTTTGATTACAATCACACGCATAAGCACACACACACACATACCTTCTCAAGTTTACCACTCAACTGCTTCAACTAACTGACTTCTCAAATTTTCCGGGGTTTTTAATGGCTTGGTTCCCAGCAGACAACCACGTACGAGCAAGTTTTTCACAGAAAGCGATAATGCAAGTCATTTCAATCATAAACACACAACTTTTGTCATGTATACTCAAGTGAAAAACCAGTGTGGAAAAAAACCGCAATGTCCCATTGGTTGTTCACACAAACACACGCACTAATAACCACGTTTTTTGCCAGTTTGTGTGTGTGAGTGTGTGTGTACGACAGGGCATTCCCTTACTGAGAATGAATTCCACTGTGTTGCCTGTGAAGCCTCAAAATCGTGCAATCATTGGGTCAATTTAGGAGGTTGCCTCGGTTTCTGACCTGGAAAATTAGCGGCCGAGAAATTTGAATCAAAGCCGTGTAACCCAGCTCTGGTACGTGGCAATTTAATACGCCAAATCACCTCTTTTGAGGTTTCTCTAAAGTCGGTGTTAGCATCTGATGGCTTAATTTTACCTAATTGGACGTTTGCGTAATTACGAAAATTCACTTGTTAAAATGCGCGTGCTTCCACTTGTTGAAAGTTCATCGCATTTCAAATCATCTGGAATTTTCCACTGAGGCCACAGCGAGGTTCACTTAGTCATGAAAAGATCCCTGACATGTTCGCGTTTATTTCGACCCCAGAGGACGGGACAAAACCACGCTGGTTGGACAAGTATCCAGCGGCTGCTCAAGTCCATGAGCACCACGTGGCACAATCCGAGGCCTCGAAGCTGCCGCACTTTCAGCGGAACTCCAGTCCTGGTTCTCTGGTCAAGGGAAGGCATCGCGATCCCTATCCCCTCCAGTACCCTCAATACGCCGAATCGCAGCACCCCGGCAACAACCAACTGGAGAGAAGGCCCTTTGACCTCTACACTTCAGAGGGCTACATCAACCCACAGGCTATGGGAGCACTTCCACCGACGCTTCCACCGCCGCCACTGTCGCTGGACACCAGCCTGATTTACAACGGAAATGCGGCCGTTTCACGGGGTGAGGGTGGTGGAGCGGTGTGTGGCGACGTGGACACGACCACCTCAACTGCTGGCGCATTTCACGTCAAAACAGAGCTCTCTAGTCCACAGTATCGGATCCCTGGTGAGTCACCAAACCTGAACGATTCTCTCTCGAATGACCACCTTATTTCCTACAGATGAGTCTGTGATCATTTGAAAAGGTCATGAATTTTTAGAGGTTATGAGGTTTGATAGCCTGTTTTGGGTAAAAGTTGACCATTTAACTCGTTCAGTCTCACGAAACGATAGTCTTTGTCAGTGAATTCAATTTTAAGTCTCCTAGAACAGTCCAATTTCGGAGACCCCTCAAATTTCCATGTAAACATGTCGTGGAGTTTGTGTGGAGTGATGGTCGTGTTGGTGGTTTAAAATTGATGGGATTTTAGCCGGTTGTCTTCGAACTTGAAAATTACCAGCACGGGACACTTCAGCTGAAACTGCAGCGCGTTTCACATCAACACGGAGATCTCCAGTTGACGCTTTTGAATCCCCGGTGAACGCTACACCCGATCTGATCAATGCCACCCTGTTCATTTTACAAGGTCACGAATTTTCTGGAGGTGACAGTCATTATCGTGACGGTAACACTCAAGTGGCAAACGTTCCGGAGTTCTCCAGTATCACAATTACCGTCTTTCATCTCAATGATGAGTACATTTGAGCACAAAGACCCAGCCGTGATGCAAGAATGCCTTTACCAATCAACCCAACGCGAGTCCTCATTAGAGAACCGGTGCACTCGTACAAGTGCACACATCAAGACGGCACCAGATTGTGCGTCGCCTTATCGATTTTCAATTATTCAATTGTGTAGCGGGGTTTTGTATAGAGTGCACTCGTAGATACTACTAAAACGTCCCCTGCCTGTACGTGGCCCCTGGTTTAATCGATGTAGTGGGCCACACCCCACCCCCACCTTCCGCCGCCGCCTCCTTTTTGAAGCCTACACTCGAAAAACACGCTTCAAAGAGGTCAACTTCAAGTGTGGGTGGTTCTTTAATCGCAGAAGCAAAAGTGCTCTTCTACGGTCTTCAAAAAAATCAAATTTTCACGCCCAATATCATTATTTCAGATCGGCTGCATTAGCTCTCGCTTTGAAAATATTAAGTGTACGACTAAATTAGTGCGGATTTTTCAAAAAAAAACTTATTTGATTTAAAAAAAATTGAGACCACCGAATTTAATCTTGCAAATATTGTCAACAGTTTTTTGTGACCTAGCACAGTTTTTCAGTCAAGTCATCATCCGCGACGAATTTACCTACGCTGTCCAGTGTTTTGGGAATTGTTTCTCAACCAAGGCATGCTGCTGCTGCTGCATTGAACGCAGCAAATGGTAGTCGGATGGGGCCAAGTCTGGTGATTATGCCGCGTGTGGAAGAACTTCCATCCTAAGTTCAAGAAGGTCTTCTGAGTGTCGCAACCAACGCGAGGTGGTCGAGCATTGTCACACAGCAGCGGCAGCAGCAGCAGTATGACTTGCTTGCTTCCTTGACTAGCAAGTGGCGTTTTCTGATCACGTTCTTGGTTCAGTTTATTCAATTGTCGGCTGTAGCCTTCCACAGTCACCGTCCGACGGCCAGTTTCCAGGAGTTTGTAATAAAGCACACCCTCATGTCCCGCTTCGGCGTCGATGTACTGCTGAGTTGCCCGTGATCTACCCACGACTTTCGACACCATGGATTCTCGCAACGATTCTTCTTTTCATCACACATCACAAGTTTCCACAGAGAGTCAATTCACTGCTTGTCGCCGGTGGGCAAGCAGTGAAGGCATGTGTTCATTCGTTGATCCAGGTTGTGTTCGGTCAACACATGTGGGGGACCCAACTTCCACGTTAGTGAATTTCCCCATTTGGTGGTGAAAGCGCTGTTTGGGTGACTCCTGCTGGAAACTCTCATTGCGTTTACGTCCAGTCTTCATTCAGTAGAGCTTGCGATTCCGCATCTTCACATTTTTAAGGCTGCTGTCCGGGGCGCGGCTGGCCACTAAGATCGATATCACCACTTCCAAAACGTTTGTACCAACATCCACATGTTCCATACGACACAACGTCGGCACCTACACCAAGAACACTACAAGTTGATCCCCTCGTGCTTTAGAAGCAGCGATTTTTCCCTCGTTGGAATTCGTAAAAAATGCAGTGCCATCGAACGTGCCTCTGGCCTTCTGAGAAATTACGTAACTCACGGAGACTTGTCGTTCAGAGTTCTAATACCTCACGTCATATCCTTTCAAAACCACCAAACAATCGCAAAAGTAGTTCTAATTGACTGAATTTTTATAGATTAATGACAGATATTTGGATGTTCTCCTCCCTAGATTGCGTATTTCTCACCAACCCCCTGGCCGATGAGGCTGCGCGTCACAAGGGTTCAGGCTGGGTCCAGTCTCCGGACTCGATCGTGGCCGGGGTTCAAAGCAGCGCCCCGTCTAGCTCCTGGCTGCAGCCCGCCTCCACGTACAACGCCTCGCACTGCCACACCAACGATGTCCTCCTGCTGGATAACTTTATCACCGACCACACCCTCTTGTCCAACCTCCAGACACAGGACAGAGGCGCCTTCGGCCCAATCGACGTCTACCCACCTGTCCAACACGGCGAAAGTCGTTCTGGAGCCTCCTCAGGGTCGACCACGTCGCCGTCGATCGCGTCAGTGCCCAATTTCGGCAGCGTTAACTCCGACACCGCACAAGCGCCGTTTGAACCTGGCGCGCCGAAACCGCTCGTTTCTGATTGGTTGCCTTCGGAAGCAGAATCGGACCGGAGTTATCTGCAAAATTTGCTGCCACTCCGAGTGGGTTTCTGACTTAACAGGCATTTTAGAGGCGTGTTAGTATTCTAGGACAAAATATGCACAAGCTGCAGTCAAATTCTATTGATTCGGGTTGTAATAAGTCTCGGTTTTTATCGGACTGTATTTCAAGGTCAAATCCTCAAAAAGCCAATTGGACTATCAAATTTATGTTTGTGTGAAAATCCAGTCCCACAGAAAACCGAGATTTGCCGTGTTGCACGTCGCGCCAATGTGCAATGAGTGCTCGTCTGTACTTCAGCGCTCAGAAACGATGTGCTTCCTAAGGCCTCAAAGGAAGTACAAATCACGTTTAGATGTTGTTAATGAGTGACACCAAGGCGTTTGTCTTCAAGTACACAGTTTTCAAGTGGTCCTAAACACACATTGCACAATTTCCACTCATCATCGTCAATAGGCAAAGCGAATCACAAGAAAATTAGTTTTACTCGCGGAGGGGAAGTTTTCACACACACACAAAAACCAAACCAATCAAAGTTAAATCATTGGTTCGGTTGTCTTAAAGTGAGGTTTTTGTGTGCTGTCGAAACACATTGCATTTTTTTCTATTTTGCAGTCGAAGGTGTTTGGAACCGTGCCGCGAGAACTGAGTCAACCTCTGCTATCTTCCATGGAAGGTTGGTTTTATTTCTGTCCCTTTCAGCCCCCCTCCTGCTCTGTAATCTTTACGCAGCCGCAATCCGTTGTCTGTTTTCAGGCGTACTTTTCAACCGCCTACAAGTCACACCTATCTTGTCATTTGTCTGTGATACTTTTTGTGTCAGTGATTTAAAAAAAATTGAAACCGATTTGAACACTTCAGAATGCATGTAGATAGTCGTCGGGAAATCGATGACCTTGTCTCTTAGTGTCTGTTCTGATGGTCTTTCAGTGACTAAATTGCGAAATTTCGTCAAGGTGTAGAATTTGTGGGGAAGAATGTCGGGAACACATTAGGCTTTCTCAAGACTGCTCCCTCGATTTGACGAATAAAGACGGGTTAACGCAGATGGCAGGTGTTGGGGTGTGTGTACGTTGACATGGTGTAGCCTAGGCAAGTGCGAGGAACTAAGAAATGTGCGATTACGACACGAAGAACCTTGCGTTTGTTGGAACTCTCAACAACCAGCTTCTCCCGATCCACAGCTGATCGCTGGTTCGCTCGACTGGTGGTGGCGTGGAGGTCGGCGTGGCGTGATGGCGTGTTTCCGAATCCATCGCGGATCAACCTCCACCTGGACCTCGACGCTGCTCCAGAGGAGTGGCGGCTAACCCTAGCCAACCTGTGGAGCGACCTCCTGCTTCGACGTGTAGCCTCTTTCGGCTCCAGCCTCTTCATCTTCAGCCAAAACTCCGATTTACGACTTCCCGGCTCTCTCGTCTGTTGGATATTCCAGGTTCGTTAATGTCACCACCGTCTATCCACCTAGAACTCACGTGTCGTCCACCACCTTAGTTTTGTTTAAGCTAACCAAATATATACCTTGCTAACGATGATATCCTCTGATTGGTTCACCAAGGGATCGGTCATCCATCCAATCAAAAACGTGCTCATGCCGGTGTTAAATGTTTTTCCTGTAGAATCGCTTGGTGAACTGCGTTCCAGTCATCCTCGCCCACGCGTTGCTTCGACCGACGGACTTGAGCACCGCGCCGCCCTCAGCATCGTCGACATCATCGAAAAAGCAGCAGCATCAGCATCAGAACGACGCAGATGATGGCGGCTCGTCGCCACGTTCCCCCAGGGACTACGAGGGTTCACGCGGCTCCTCTCCCACCTCCCCCGGCACGACCAAAGACGCCAGTGAAACCTCCTCAGTGTGCTTCCAGGTCCCGCCACGACAGCGCGTCTTCATTAGTCTGTCGAAGCTCAACGCCAAGCTGGCCGAACACTTCTCGGGCGTGTACCCCATGTTGCAGTACCTTGACGCGTACATCTGCGAGCTCAACAAATTCCTCACGGAGCAGGTCCTCCTCCTTGGAGTCTACATGGCCATCAAACTGACGGAGCCGCCTACCACGGAGGAACTATTACAGGTCTGTTCATGGACTTGTTCTCTTTAGACAGTTTAAATTTAAATTTATACTTAAATTGTTTGGTAGTAGTGTGTATTTTTCCATTGCAGAGCCCTCTGTCAGACGAAGATATCCAACAGATGAACAATTTGAACGTGAAATTTTTACAACTCTTCGGACTGGCTGCGGACCATGTGGCAGCTTCAATAGTTAACGGGGACCTCTGTGATACCCTGCAGAGTCGGGCTAAAGCCATGAATGACGCGATCTGTCGGCGAACGAAGTTGCCCGATTTTCTCAGCTGGGGTCGGCAATTTGACGACAACATAAAATCTCTCCTTTACGACACGTGGAGTCTCAGTCGACAGTGCCTTGGACCCGAAAAACCCCCGATTTCGCCCTGCTTAAGTGCCTTTTACGGTGACACAGCGCAGTATTTGGACCTCCTCATGCCTGCACCCACCTCCGACGAAACCCTCGATGTCGTGTGAAGTGGGTGCCAAAATAGTGTACATAAACGCACACACCGCATGTACATACCGCCGCACCCAAGCGCCATGACAATCACACAGGTTACCAAAAAAGCACACTTTAACAAAACTGACGTAAACATTAGTGCCTTTAGGAGATGCAGTGCCTCTTCTCTTGTCTACTCCTCTTTTGTGTGTGGAATTTTTTTGCTCAATTACACAAAATGAGCTAAGATGGCAGGCAAGGCGTGGAAGCGAGGTGACGGCTGGTTCCCATCCCCACCCCACCCCACCCCTGCGCCCACTTTAACGACTCCCTTCGTACGCCCCCTTGTCCACACATGGATGGCTAACACCAAAGTACATCACTTTGATATTTTTACTTATTATTACTACAACTACTACTACTGAGTCACTGTTCGTGTCATTTTTGACGCGGAAGGTGCCCATCCTCCTTCGTTTTTCGCTAAATTTGTAGAGCAGCTTCCTGCTTACATGAATGTGCAGTGAATACATGCAACATGGCAGCTATGAGGGTTTCGTGTGAAATTCGACCAAATACAGTTTACTTCGGGGGCATTGAGTGGGATTTCTTAGCAGAATGGCCTCTTCTGACTTTGTAATTTCCTAAGCCTATTTGCGTATTGTTCTGAAATGAGGGCAAATCTTAATCCTAGACAAATTATAAAAGGCGGATGCATAAGGATACGTTTAAAGATGATGCATAATTCAATTACCTGTCGTTAGAGCTACATATTTTTCCGGAGAATTAACGGCAGCCTTTGCACAAGACTATCTACTTACTTATATTTAAGTAGATATAATTTACAGGCCCGTGCTTGAAGTGGCGACCGAAACCCCGACAAAGTGGCTCTGTGGTTAAACTTCGCAAATACACATGAAACTCAGCCCATGCTTGTCTTATTTGGCAATATGGTATTATTTTAGCAATGACTGACATAAAGGCTTAAAGAAAACTTCGCTGTTCGATCAAGTCTCTGTCAATTTCATTTAAAATCCCATTTAATTACACAGCCTACAACATTCTGCTTTGAATTCCCAGCTAATCTTAAAACCTCTAAATGTGGGATCACCGGTTAGTTGGTTGGTTGTGACTACTACTAGCTTGGGCTCTGATTGGCTAGTTTGCAGGCACACGAGCTAAACTTAAATACAACAGAATTATCTTATTGGACAATGAATATCGTGACACTCTGGTCGATTGCAATGAGTCCATCGATAAAATGCATTTTTTTAACAGCGGGTTCGTTTTAGCATCAAGATTCTGCGGGTTGGAACATCACCTATCAACTAGATTTGCCATCACAATTAACGTCTTCGGCTGAGCAGCCAACGGGGAATGCCTAGTAGACCAGCTCAAGTTAGATGTCGGTCTGGTGTAAGTTAAACTGCGAAGATAGTTGGTTAGTTTGAGTCAGATATTGGTTTAAATCGCTCTAATTCCATCCCCAAGTGAGTGCCCAATGAAGTGTCGAATGACTCAGCTGGGGTCAGATTTTGGTCTGCTGTGGGAAAAACAGCCAATGAAATGTGTCGCCATTTAGTGTAGAGTAAAACTTTGGATTGATGTTAAGTACTTCTACCTCCAAATGAGATGTGAGTTATCTCAAAAAATACAACCACTAACCGGCGACCAAGCTACGAGTAGACACTAGTTGCCGTGGGACAGCGGGGTTAGTCACGATAAGAAAAGGGCAATTTAGACCTGTGATTCACACAAACCAGAACAGCTCCCAATTAAACTAGTTAAAAATTTAAACACTGCATTTTTAAACTCCGAGTGTTATTAGAACTGCAATTCGCATCGTAGCAGCGCACTCTTTAAATATTTCGAAAGACGTTTGGCAACCGACGCTTCAGTAGAAGCCAAGAATGGTTCAAAATACTTTTGATCTGTCAATAATTGGTTTTAACGTTATTTTGTGTTGAAATGCACTTTTATGTATCAGAAGCAGATTGCACACCAAACACTGCTTAGTTTTGCGTGTGATTGGAGGCAATGACACTACTTCGTCAGCCAATAAAAAGTGAACATCTTCGTAAGTTAACCTACTAAATGACGTCACTACTTTTAATAATCGCTAAGCAGTGCATTAAAAGAATGAGCCTTATTGAGATAGAAATGGGCGCGTGATTTGCTCGGCAAATAACTTTGTTTAATCGGATTGGCTAGTTTTAGACAGTTATAAATGTTTGTTTGCCATCAAAAGGCTGTCTGTTTAAAATAGTCTAGGCTATTTTAAAAGCGCCTGATTTAATTTAAACTTTGAAGCAACTTAATTTCGCTGATAAGGACAACTTTTAGGCCTGAGAAAACTAGAAGTTGCATTACGGTGCAGACGATAAAATGGGCACCTTAATGGTTATCTAAAACATTAATTATCATGTATACAGCAAATGGGATCGCTTTCTATTATTGGAGACTTTGAATAGTGTTCCAACACAATCATAATGGTAAAACAAAGGGTTATACGGAAATAACAGGACAAATTTTACACTGACTGAACTATGCAGGGGCCACTGAATTAACCCTGGCCCGATTAGGTTTCCCTGGTACTCACGATGAAGAAAATGACCAGAGAGGACGTGGACACAACCGTTTACTTCAGAGCTCAACCACGTTAGTGTCGTTGTGTCGTGGGCGAGGTTTGCGCGTGTGTATTTATACCTCAGATGGTTGAGTCATAGTTGAGCTAACATCAAAACCCAGGTTTGAGGATAATCCAAGGCTGGGGAGTTGAGGATCCGCACGGATGGCAACATGCTGCGAAACGAGGAACCCTGAGTCGAAGGATGGAGTGATCGGACTAGCGTGTGTGAATCAGCGCGATTCACAACAGAGCTATGGGCTACTTACATGGACGAAAGAAGACCAAAGATGTTGGGAGCTTGTTTAAGAACTCAAGAAGGTTTGGAGGACATCGAGCACGTCCAATGTGGGCTAAATGACAAACAAGAGCTGCAGAATCGAATATTGAATCATCGATGTGTCTTATATACCTCAACCAACGTTCACTTCCCGTAGCATTTCCGAAAGTGTGATATCGTGTGATGAGCGATGGTTTCCGTGATGTGTTAGATGCTGTTTGACAGTCGATTTCAAAAAACTTCGATTTTTGAGGTTGACAGCTGGATGAGCTACCTGAAAGGGGTAAAAATAGCCAAATAGCAGCATTCTCAGAAGACACCAAAAGAAGAGGGCATTACTCACTGCGGTGTCATTCTTGTAGGTGACCTCTGCGATCGACACGCCATAATTAAGAAAAAAAGACAAGTCTGAATACGATGGACGTGGTGGTAAGAGAATGGTTGTTCTGTTCAACAATACGCCAGTAAGTATTCATATGCGTGTCGTCCACAGCACTGACTTAACGGGCTCACGGAAATCGGATTTGTTGAGGAGGCTTGTAAATTAAGCCTGTGATTTGAGATGTTCGTCTGCACAATTAAAACTCTACATTGTCGTTCACGCCAGCAACTAATCACTTGGTGCTATTTGCTCAAATCGTCGATCTCACATCTGAGCATCCACACGGCTTCCACTCAGGCTCCATCTTGTACTCAAGCCATTGGTTTCTGCAGTAAAATCTACAGCACAACCAATAGTCTTCTCATAATCTAGAAAGTTATCGACATGCCAAGCAGGGGGTTTTAGCTATCAGCTAGGGGATTTGCATCAACACACCGGGAAAAATACGCCATTTTATCTGCTAAGCAACCGTCTACACACCTTCAGTCGGTGAAACTTGAATGTTTGCGGAATTTTAGTGGGATTAAACAATACTTAACTTCTCTTAAGCTTCCTAACTTACACCAATCCCGTGCAGTCCATCATACGATAAACAAAATTAACAGAACACGGCTACACAACCAGAAAAGTTCATTTATGCGTTTTTCTTAAAAACATTTGAAAAATTAACTATGATATCAGTTGTAAATTTTCGTTTTATCAAAGGTGATCGTTCATTCTGATAATCCTGATTTCGGACACTGAAATCCGATTGGTTCATAGGCTTCAGTAATCTCACAATCTATCAACCACGTAGTCTGCGATTTGTCATCAGACTTTGAGGGAAAATACATCGATGTTGATAGCAAAGATCAGTCTTATCGATCAGGCTTCCCCCAAGGTTTGGTTGTCGCCCGGTAAAATAACGCCAGCTTAAGACGACTCGACGTCCTTGTCGAGCGCACAGACAGGATGTGTAATGGCGACACTTGATAAATAGCCTATTAGCCGGTGGGTGGTGGGTGTGAAGAGCTGTCTGGTGTGGCAGTCTCGAAGGTTGTTTTCGTTCGCGCTATCACCGACGTCTGTCATGCGCCAGTCTGCGTAAACAATGCTCAAGGGCTTGGAAACAGACTCACCGCCTCCTCACCACCACTGTCGCGTCGTCTGTAGGGTGATGGATTAGCAATTTGGCCCTCATTAGCGGATACCTTGAAAGTGTGGGGTTATCGATTTGGTGCCAGAAGGTCAGGGGGCACGCAGTGAGTTGTAATCAGTCACTTCGTGGGTACAGCTCCTGCGCCAACACCTTCTGACCGCTGCTCCCTTCAATTAAACGCCTTGATTTTAACTTCGGGTTGGTTGGTTTAGATGATAGCACAAAAATCTATCTCCCAATTTTCGTCCTTGGCTTTAATTTATCTAGAAAAAAACTACCACGTTGTGCGTGAGCAACGCTTCGGAGATCCATGAGGCGGCGACTTTCTTTCAGATGGCAAAGTGGGTTTGCACGTAGTCCTTTGAGGTTGAAAAAAGTAGCTGAAAGCAGCTGATAATAGTTGAT